AAGTGTTGCTATTGTTAATTTTTCTCATTGTATAGTTACTTTACCAATCCACATATATTATAATTACCTAGATATACTAATTTTCATACTGTTTTTAGATCCACTGATGATGACATTAAATTGAATGTCGAAACGTTTGGAAATAAAGATTATTTTATAAATCTTTGGCTTTTCTTTGTTTGATGTATCGCCCTCAAGAACTCACTCATATATTTCAACATCAAAATTAACTACTAAATCATATATATATATATATATATATATATATATATATATATATATATATATATATATATACTAGTGCTACTATTACATATGCTATTTCAAAGTTCAATTTGTTTTATTCCAAATTCGAAATTCAGCACTGTACCCCTGCCTCCACTAAAATGCAAAACAGTATCATAGAGTTTCTAAGTCTCGGTCGCAACTTATTACAAATTGGCGCTCAAGGTGTCTGAGCTGAGAGTTTTGAAATTATGCAAATCATAAACAGGACAGGACGGTTAATATCTTCGCTGACTAAATGTTCCTTAATCTCTTAATACCGCCACGTAATGGCGAAAGGGTTGAATATGCAATCGGCAGGCCTATCAAACTGAAACTTTGGCTACGAGTGGGATGATTTATATATAACTCTATTCATATATATGCATTACTATTATAATGATAATATTTATTATCTAATACAAACTTATTGTAGAGTTATTGCTTAAATTAAAATGTATGTGTTTAGGAGTAAATATGTATTGAAACTTAATTTCACCATTGTCGTACCAGTTAACGTGTTTCAAAATGGATTGTTCAAATTTTATTTTAAAACCTTATTAAATATTATATGTGTGTTTGTGTGACTGTGTGTGTGTAAAAATATAACAGCGAAATTGTTGAATTCAATAAAAATATAAACATTATCATTATTAAGTTATATATTCTGCCTCCAAATATGTTTTATGTATCAACATATGTAATAACAAATTATATTAAACATTAAATAATAACAGTAGCAACACAATAACATTTAAATTAGAATAACTAAGTGTAAGTGCCATTGGCATTAAATACTTTTTATGAACTTCCGTATATGCGTGAATAATATTTTTAATCCATAAATTATTTGATTTCTATATGATCTATCTGTCTATCAGTCTAGCTGTCACCTGTCTACTAATAATTATATTTAATGTAATCATTTGTATATGAATCAATAATAATTATTTGTAATGATCAGGTTTTTACATCAATGGGCTTTTTTGCATTTTCGAAAACGCTGGGCCTGCCTCCTCAAAAATGTGGTCAATTCTGTCAACACAAGTAAAATGTTTTGTAAGTAATTGTAATTAGATGCTTCATTCACTCAAAAACTGAATTGATTTTTTTCTACTTTTTACCCTGTATCTTCGAAATGGCTGGACCTGCCTTTACCAGAATAGAATTGCGTAAACAATTATTTTTTTTAACCATTAGAATTTATTGAATTGCTCTCGAGATCATCAACAAAAAATTGTAGCCGCATTCCGATTTTTTGCGATTACTATAACTTAGCATACTAGAAGTTAAAAATGTACAAGAGAAATGATGAAGAAAGTAAATCAAATCATAAAATCAGTGTTACAATAAGATGTTGACGCATTCGATGTTTTTTGTTTGTTTTATTATTCAAATAAATTAAATATCAGCTAAATACAAATTTACAGCAATAGCCAGTTATGCATTCCGCGCCAATAAATTTGTGTAAATATTGTTAGCTTCGATATTCGAAAAAAAATATTTTGTGGAAATTAAAACAGGAATAACAATAATTTTGAAATAAAAACAAATATTTGTTAAACATTAAAAACAAAACTAATCATCACTTGTCCCCATCATTTCGAATTGTATGTTTTTTTCGGATCATTTAAATCGGATGCTGCGTTCTCTCGAAAACCTTATTTCTATTTTCTGCACTCTTTGCGCCGTGTCTCCGAAGCGGCTTGACCTGACTTTGTCAAAAACTAATAAGCCCATCTCCCATTCAAATCGGTTGATCAGTGCGTACAAAAACGTGTACAGAAAAATGTATACATATACACTTACACACATCCATTTTTTCTAAGGTATGCCAAAATGTTCACAAACCTTCAAGCCCTGAAGATATGCAAAAAACTTTAATTTTGATTTTTGGATGATTACAATAACTTACCCTACGGAAAGTTAGAAAAACAGCATTTACATTTTTATTTTCAGATTTTATTTAACTGTTTTTTAATCTTTGTAGTTCCACCTTAACCCCATGAAAAATAGTATTTCTAGTCAAATTTGAGAAAAGTTGTGTTTAAATCCATGAAAAATAGAATTACTTGGCAAATTTATGAAAAGTTTTGTGTCGGCTTTCAAACTTTGTACAAGTTTATAATCTTACACATGCTGCATTGCGCTTGATCTGGTTAACAAACGTTCCTACAAGATGTACATTGTTGGTTTCGTTAAGTTTATCTTGATAAATTACATATGGGATTTTGGAATTAAAAGAATTGATTTAGGCATTTCCTTAAGAAATTGCCTGCATAATATTCAATCCAGAAAAGTGCGTGCAGAAGTCAACTTTTTAATGACGAGATGGAAAAAATAAAAAGGAAAATTGCTGGAACTTTCTGCACCAGTATTAAATATTCGAGGGAAAAAAATCAGTAATAAAGAAATTTTGATCAATGATTAATAAAAATTGTTTTAAACATTTTCAAATAGATAATTATAATCACTATATATTTTATCGTTCATAAAATATGCAGTGACTATCTTATCGCTTAAAACACTTAAGAATGTTTACATTAACAAGAGATGTCGAATATGAATCCATCTGAAGATAGATTTCTTACGATGAGTATAACGCATTTGTAATATATACATTTTTTAACTGAATTGTAAATTTTAAATTCATATTCGAAGTATAAAACTTTGTATATTTTTGAAAATTTTGAAAAAGAAATTTCTGTAAATGTTGAAATTTGCTTAAACCGTATAAGTAAACTTTAAAAATTAACAATATTGGTACGGAACTCAACAGAATTTCAATAAAAATAGTACTTTTAGTAAAATTAGTACTCATTTTTAAATACTATCAAATATTTGATAATTTCATGGGCCTGTCTAATGATCATTTTTGACAGCCAAATTTCTATTTTTTTTACTTTTTTCTCTGCATCTCAGAAATCGCTAGAACTGTCTTAGCAAAAATTTTATCAATACATCATCTAGTCATTCGTTTCGTCAAAATAATTAAATTGTTTTTTGAATCATTCAAATCGGGTACTCCGCTCTCTTAAAAACTGAATTACCGTTTTTGGCACTTTTTGGCACTTCACCAAAAACTAATAAGCACATCTTCAATAGGAATCTTTTTTGAATTACTCAAATCGGTTGATTCATGCGCCTAAAAACGTGGACAAAACATTGTATCCAAACATACATATATACACACACACAAACATCCATTTTTTATCTAAATTTTCATTTTTGATTTTTTTGCGATTACTGTACTTACCCTACGGGAAGTTGAAAAAATGTGATTTGAGTAAAAAATATTTATTATTTAATTTGTATTAAAAATTTATATTAATTTGAAGTATTAATTTAAAATTCAAAATAAAATTTTCTTCAAACGTTGCTTAATTGAATTAAAATTAATTTTCATTGTTACAAATATTTCTGAAAATCTCTAAATTTTGTTGACTTCAAAATTTTCTATTACCTAATATAAAATTTTATTATTATTTATTATTAAGTTTAAATATGTGTGTTATTAAAGCTGCTTGTTAACCGATACTGTATCAATCTCTGAAAATGTAAAAAAATTCTGAAAATAGAATTAAATAAATAAAATAGCAATTTAAATTTTTATTTATAATTTATTTTCGCATCTTTTTTTGGTCTATAATGATTTGGTATTAGTTTTACAGTTTTTCCTAAGTATTTCTCGATATATATTGTGGTATTACTGGATTTACTGAAATTTTGATTAAATTTAAATTATGCATCAGCTATAACAGAAACAATATAAAAATCACAGCGTATTACGAGTAAACTATTTGAAAGAAAAATATAGAATTTAGAATAATCATAGATTCTAGACATAATTTTGATTATATGATTTTATTATAGAATTTTGAGTATTACTTGATTCAATTTGTATAATTAATATTTATTACATTAGGGAAAATCACAAACTGTTAGTTATGTACTATATAGCAGTCCGACAAGCTAAACACTAATTTAACAAAAGAGAGAAATATGAACAGGTTCATTTATAATCGAATCAACATCTAAATAACTATACAGATAAAATTTGTTGCACATGGTTGAAAAAATGTTGCATCGTTTAGATAATACACAATTGTCGTTAATATTTATGAACAAATAATTAATTTCTGATTAGTATCTGATTAAATGTATGAACTTTTATACCATAAAATTATTATTATAATTTGGAACGATGCACTATTTTTATCGACGCATTTGCTTATTTTTTACATACAACAATAAAGTTTGAGATCTTACTCGCACAGTCACTGAAATATTCAGCAGATTTCTATATAATTTAAATATATCTACATAAATAATATATAGTTCAACAAACTATCATGTTTTGTCATTAACTGTTTCGTTTTATTGCACTTGTATAAAACTTTTTATAAGTCAACACTATTTGAGCGTCACTAAAGCACCACATCAATGAGGTAATTTTAAAGTCACTCGAGTGTCCAGTTCAAGTTCAGTATTTTTTGGTGAAATAAAACTTTTCATTGAATCTTTCAATTAGATTTCCACATCATCTGAGCAGTTCATTGATAAATTCAGAATGACAAACTTAACAAACTAGCAATTTCTGAATAATTTTTGTGTCGTCGTTCACCTCCATTTTCATCATAACGTTATCACAAAAAGTTTTCACACCACATTAACTTCTACTCCAATTTTTCCTCCTTCTTTTCCAATAAGAACATTATTTTAAGGAGATTGTTTCTTTAACTCGTTGCGCCCAAAGACATGACTTGTCCATTGGTTTTGGCAGCATAATTTCCTTGACTGGTCGCCAAACCATTATTGTTAGGGTCACCTCCAGGATTGCTTGACCCTCTTGGTGGGCAAGTCGTCATTTGTTGAGACTGCTGGTGATTTTGGGACTGAGGTTGTTGATTCATCATTTGATGAGGATGTGGATGAAGACCGTTTGTCATCTGGAATTACAAAATATTTTTTGATTAATTTTGGCTTAATTAGTAATGGAAAACAAACATTACGCATAGATAACACGAAAGAAAAGATAATATCATGATTGCTTAAAGCTGTGGTTATCCATCTGTGGGACGCGCGTACAAGGGGGGTGTACAGCTGTTTCCAAGTAACTACTTTCAAAAATAAACCAAATATTGCTTATTAATTTGTAGTCTGATAATATCAGTGGAGTACTTATAAAATAAAATTATTGAAAAAATTAAGGGAAGCACAAAAAATTTTTTTATTACAGCGGGAAGGCGCGGCGAGAAAAAGGTTGGAAACCACTGGCCTAAAGATTTTTGTGATGTGGACATTTTCTCTGTTAGAAATCAATCTCTTTTCTAAATGAGTGTCTTCAAAAAACTTTTCAAAATCTAAAAATCTCTTCCAAAACCTAAATTAATTATTCTATTGGGAAATATTTGGTAAATGTGTTAAAACTTTAAAAATAATTTGTAATGATATTGGCGAATTATTAGTTAAGTCAAACAATTGAATTTTATTTATCGATAACAAAATGTTCAAAATTCAAGCACGTTAGTGCTTTAAAGATAATATCTAATAATATTAGCGAATTATTAGTTAAATCAAACAATTTAATTTTATTTACTGATAACAAAATATTCAAAATTCAAGCACGTTAATATTTTAAAAATAATTTATAATGATAATAAATTTTCCAAAATTCTTATAATTAGTTAAATCAAACAATTTAATTTTATTTACCGATAACAAAATATTAGAAATTCAAGCACTACAATCTAAAATTTTTCTTTCTTAGATATCGATGAAGTTTAATTTGAAAATATGTAATGGAACAACGTAGAGTAATTAAAATCACTAATGAGGCTTGTAATATTATGTATATTATTAAAATATTTAAAAAAATTCTGATAATTCAAAAAGAAGGTAAATTCTTAATTGTTTTTAATTTGCTTTTATTGCTTATGTATTATTCTCGTTGTAACTTTATGACAGTGGTTTCCAACCATTTTGCACCGCAACTTTATGACAAAAGTTTCCAACCTTATCGCGCCTCCCTCAATTTTTTCAATAATTAATTTTTTAAATATTCAACTGATATTAACAGAATACAAATTAATATGCAAAAATATGTAAAAAAATTGCATAAAAAATAATTATTTTTTGTTCAATTTTTAATATTATTTCAATACTTTTGGTTTATTTTCAAAATTAGTATTCTGGAAACAGATGTACGCGCCTCCTTGAGCCCCCCTGAGGTGGCTGGCCCCACAGGTTGGAAACCACGGCTATATGATGGAATTTAGCATCACTTATGATAACACAAGTATGAAGTCGAACTGAAATTATATTCTGACATTTGTGCCATTTGGAGGTTACATTTTCAAAGAAGATAGTGTAATACCCCCAGTTGTACTGTTTATTGCGGTTGTTAAAAGCTTTCTGCCATTTCGGGACTACCAACTCATGCGACTTCTCAACAAAAAAATTCCGGTGATATAACATAGCTATTTTATTCAAGAACTGAACCGTTAGTATGGCCAAACTTTTACTAAAATTGATAACCCATTTTCGATAATTAAGGGAAAAAATATGGTGCCTGGTATGGTAAAAATTAGTAAATACAAAAACCAAAACAAAACCAAAATTTTAATAAAATCTATAGCCATCAATCACGAAAATTCGTTTTATATCTCAAAACATGTTCTGGTATAATAAATATATCCTACCGACATTCATAGTCAATAAATACATCTAAAGCTACTTCCATGAATTGACATTGGAATATAATTTTTGAGATTTTTTCATAATTTATTTAATTTGTATTATCAATAATGTTTCAAATGATTATTTAATAATGAAGAATTGTATTATTACCATAAGATAGATATATAAAATCCTAATTACTCACAATTCCTTTGTGTAATATATTATTGAATAAATAAATCTTTCCAAACAAAATAACGACTAACATCTATATCCTTCACTAGAGAATGCAGTCAATGACTCATTTTTGATATTTAGTGGAAAAAATATAGTGCCTCGTATGGTGAAAATTAGTAAATACAGGACGGATATATTATCCAATATATTATTATATCTTCAAACTATGCTATCCACTTTAAATCCCCCTGATAATCTAACTAAAGCACATACATCTTAGTATGCGGTCTCAGGAGCTCACCTGCGCAGGTAGACCTCCGGCGGCACCCGACGCCGCCTGTCTCTTCAATATCGGGTGATGCGCCATCGACGCGAACACTAGGCGCTCCTCGTAGTCGTACTCGCACAGGATTTTGTTTTCGCACAGGTAGAATCTATCGCCCACACAAAACCTGAAACAAAAGAAATTATTATATAATTATAATGGTTTTAATTATAAATTATATATTACATATTTATAATAGCATTAAAAATATGTATATTATTTAAAAACAATAATGTAATTCAAGTCATACTTCAAATATGACATGATCGGTTTGTCATTGTAATTAGCATTTAGAAATGAACGTTCATTAGAGAAATGAAGTATTTGCTGATTAATAAATTCTATAATATTTGTTCACACAGTGGATTATGTTAAAACAACGCCTAAACAAATATTGTTTTCGCAACTTCACTCATCATGTAATCGTGTGGGAGAACTTCATGTAATTAAAATTAACATACATTCATTGAATGCTTGTATTTTTTTACTTTTTCGTCAGCGATATAATCTCATTCTTTGAACAGCTGTAATATCTGTCTTGCCTAAAAATATTTTTCATTTTAATAACTTCAACGATTTATAGAAACTATGAATAATATTGAAATAATATCTAATCATTAAGCTTACGTTTAGCTCACGGCACAAATGTTTAATTTGTTTTATTATTTTCAAGGAACAGGGTAAAATATTCTTCTCATTCAGGCATTTTTCATTAAATCAAGATTTGTACTACGATGTAACTTTAAAATGTTTATTTATCTATGCCGATTTCCTTGTTGATATCGGTACGCATACAACATTGATGCCGGTAAGCATACTACGCATACAACGACAGATCTCTATTCACGTCTAATATATATATGCGTATAGTATACGCAGTGCTGGATTTACAGTAGGGGCAATCGGGGCTACTGCCCAGGGCGGCAAATTTTTGGGGGCGGCAAAATTTGGATAGTGAGAAAAAAATTCTATACAATGTAATCAAATTTTTTTACCAACATTTTTATATTTCAAGAAATATAATTAACAAAACATAATACGATTGCAATGCAAAATTTGGGTTGAAATAACCGATTATTAAAATTTATTATTTTGCCTTGCCTCCCTCTCCGAACGTAAATTATCAAATTGGTTAATAAGTTATTAAATTTGGCAATTTGGCTAATATAAAGATCCGTAAACAAGCTGAAAGTTTAAGAAAAATATTTATTTCAGTTCTCGAGCCCTCTTAAAATGACGAATTTGTGCACTTCCAAGTTTATAGCGTCGAAAAAAGTTTAAACTAGTGACTCATGGCATTGTGCCTTAAGACAAATTATTGAAACATCCCGTACTAAAAATTACATTTTATAAAAAGCTTTTCAACTTTTTGCAAAGCAATCGCGCTGCGTAGCTGTTTCAGAGAAGAAATATCGAAACTCAATTACCATTTTTCGTAATTGCCTTTGCCAAAAACTAATCAGCACGTCTCCCCATCAATACAAATCTAATATTTTTTAATTATTTAAGTCGATTTCGGGAACACGGATCAACCGATTTAAATGATTCAATTCCTATTTATAACGAGACGTGCTGATTAGTTATTGGCCAAGGCAGGTCCAACTGTTTTGAAGATACGGGCCAAAATGCCAAAAATGATAATTCAGTTTTTGAGAAAAGAAGCGTCCAATATCATTCAAAAAAAATTACAGAATAAATAACTGCTTAAATTTGTGGGAGGCAGGTTTAGCGGTTTCGATAATCCAATAAAAAAAATGGTAAAAGAAACATTTGGTGGACAAAAGTGATCACAAAACATATGCACATCAAATTATCAGATATTTTAAAAATATGTTAATAAGTATAAATTTTGTTTACATTTATATGCGTTCTGTAACATTGTTTATCCGTTAGACTGCGACGCGGCGTTTACGCGCTTCTATATTTTGTCCCTACGCAGCTGAAGCAGCGCGATTGCTTTAAAAAAAAGTTCGAAAGTTCGTAAAATTTCAGGGATGGGGCGGCATTTTTGTCAGTGCCCCGGGGCGCCAAATTTCTAAATCCGGCCCTGAGTATACGTCTAATCACAATCGGCCCATATAGAAATGATACCATTGAGAGCGAATGACACTCGACTCGGCATAAAGCACTTCCGTTGCATTTGTACGGATTTACACCTTAGTCGCGCCTAAAGAAGTTTTACTTCAAAAAACTTGATTTTTTAAGGTTTAGAAATATTTTTTTCTAAACTTAAAAAAATTACATTTTTGAGAAGTTTGAAATTCTTGAAAAAAAAATGAGTGAAGCAATCGCTCTGCATATCTATTTTAGAGTCGAAATATCGAAGCGCGTAAACGACGCATCGTAGTCTAACGTATTAAGATTAGTACGGAACCCATGTAAATGTACACAAAATTTGAATTATAATCCCTAAAAAACACCGGATAATACGATATGCATATGTCTAATAATCATTTTTGATCGCCAAATAGCATTATCATTTTACTTTTTCTATTGGACCTCCAAAAACCCTAGTTAACTTCATCCATACAAAAAAAAATGATTTTTGAATCATTCAAATTGGACGCTGCGTTTTCTCAAAAACTGTAATATTATTTTTGGCATTTTTTTGCCCCGAATCTTCGAAACGGCTAGACCTGCCTTTGCCAATAACTAATCAGCACGTCTACTTATCAATGTTTTATTAATCATTCAAATCGGTTGATGCGTACTTTATACTTTCACATTAAATATTTTATAACAGTACATTTATATTTATTATAGAAAAATGGTATATCATATTGATCATGTGGAAAAATTAAAAAAAAGGTTTAACAATTCTTTTAAAAAAATCTCATGACAATATTTAGCAATTAATTACATATTACAGCTATGGGTCCATCAGTATGGCATGGTGTAATTTTGCTTATGTAGTACTTAATATTAGAGAAAATACAAACAGTAAAACAAAGACTGTTATTTCATGTATTAAAGTATAAGATCAAGAGGTCACCTTGCAACCCATATTATTTAATTCAAAGATGTCCTTAAATATAACTGATAATAATGTCACAAATTATTGATGTTTCTTAACTTTATATTTGCATATCATAGTGAACAGGGTCACCTATTACTAGGTAAAAATCATTGCTTGAAGCCTTATAGACAAAATTTTTAGAATACGTGAAATTCGTAGAATCAGCATTTAAATTTCTGTTAACCAAACGAATTCAGTACTACGATCAAAGTTGAAAACGGCACAAAGTTCACAGCGAGCTTTTTCGCTGGTCTATGTCAACTAACCCATTGTCAAATGTTACCAATACGATTTTAAAACTTTTCTTCTATTTTCACAAAGATTTTTTCATATTTTTATTTCTTTTTATTGCCAGTAGATATAAAGGTGCGATAGACACATTTCAAATATTCTATATTCGTACTATAGGGCTTTAGTGCTACTGCGATTGACAAGCAATTTTCTAAAGTCCGTTCTGTCAAATATATGGATATATCCATACAATATATCAAATCCTTTATGAATTACATCAGTCGCAAAATTAACAAAAATAGACCAGTGATATATGTCCGAAATCAGGCATTGTCAATCGTAGAAACTATGTTTGAATTTAGCAATTTTTTTTTGTTCTATATTTTATTAACTTTCATGGTAATAATAAAAGACTATATAATAAGTACACAAGAAAAAAAAATTTTTTGGTTAATTTTGTTTTTGTTGTATTAATTTTATTTCCATTTATTTTCTTCCAAGTTTTTTGCAAATGATAGAACACAATACAAAAAGAACGTAAGCAAAATATAAATAAAGTGTCGTTATTGATATATTTAATATTATTTTTATGAATATATTCAATATTAATTCTATGAAATTTTTAATATATGCAGTTTATTTGAATAACAACTAACTAACTAACCTAATAAATTTTTCTTAACTCAAATATTAACTGAGAACCATTATTAGAGCGTTTTTTTTTAATATTTCAATTTGATTGAATTCAATCAGAAAGATTTATTAGGTTAGGCCAAGGCACAAAGGTCCAATTTGACTATAAGTATTTATGCTGTCTAAACCCAAATTAACATCAAAATGCATACCACGTATCAAACAAATAACTATAGAACTATGTTCAGTGAAATTCCCTACAAAAATATGTTTTTGTTTACTATTTGGTGTTTTTAACCAATAGGCGGTGTAAAATGGCACAGCCAGGGGACAAACAGATCCAAAGTTTTAATTTTAATTTTAAAGGAATTTTACGAAATAATAATAATCACATTAATCAACCAATGTTAAGTATTAATATTATGGACACATTTTTTGCATAGATAACGCTATATATAACCTTGATTTGGTATTTTGTCAGAAAAATTCATCAGTAGAGTTAGATTAACTATTAACTTGATTTCTTGCAATATTCATTTTTGTTGACTTACTTTTTTATTTACAATTTTTTATTGTTTGCACTTTTTCCAGGAGAAAGGTTCAGTTGGTTCTTTTTACCCCACCCACATGTAAGCTTTTATACAGACTATATAAATACATATTTTTGAAAATAGCGTAAAAATGAATATTCATATTATAAAACAATTAAACAATGTCCCCTAAAAATCCTATTAGGTTCTCGTAAACTAAACAACAGTGCTCACAACCAAAGAACCTGAAAACGAAGGAAACTACTCATGTTATTGGTGTTCAAACATGACCGTATATCTATTGATAACGACGTTGCTTGATTTAAGGTGGTTGCACATCTTTGCCTTCTACTTTTAAATATTATTTTTAAAAATATCCTAACTTTACTAGTATTTGAGATATATGGAATGTTAGAAAATCGCAAGCAATAAGTTTCTGGAAAAAATCGGCTTGTAATATAATTGAATAGGACACAAAATATTCAAGGAGCTGCGTGTTAAAACCAATTATCTAAATCTAAATAACAAATAGTAATTATAAGGTTAATATTATTCAAGATACGTTTTGCTAAAAAAATATCTGATTTGCTGACGACTACGTTTCACAGAATTTTTGAAATTATTGGAAAAATATAAGTGAAATTCAGAAGCTTGAAAAATATACAAATTTAAGTTTTATAGTAGAACACAGCAAATACTGCAATTATTCCAGGCATGAAATCCTCTGAATGTAATTAACCGTTTTGGTGCCATTCATAAAAAGCCAAGCATAATTACTCTGAAATTTGAATAAGGGAAAATAATATGTAACGTTTGTAAAATAATGTTTCAATTTTCAAATTTTTTTCAACGCATTTTCTAGTTGGATTATTTTATGAAAATATAGGCTAAAAGTAAAAATTTCTGTAAAAATTCAAACAATTTTTCACATAAGCAAACTCAAAAATACATCGACGCGTGAGTCGCTATTGTGCATCTCGCACTTTTATTATAGACAGATTCTTTTAGATAGAACAAGCACGAAAACGGGTAAATTTTGATTTCGATCTTCTCATATTTGCAGAACTTTTTGAGAATCTCAATCCTCCCCGTAGCCCATGACAGATGTAAACGTTTCGTTTGTTTCGCGACAAACAAACAATTTTCCATTAATTATTTAATAACGCGCGGGTCCGCGTGTGTCCATTGAAATCATTGCATTGTATCGCACGACGCGCGACATATATTCCCGTTCGGATCTCCCATACGAACCTACATACACATACTACCATCATACTATGCCAAACCGAAACCAAAGCGATTGTATGCGCCAGATGGATTACCAGCAGCCGGATTAATTAATCCGCTGGAATTATGCGGTAAAGAATATAATTGCCGGCGGACAATGAAATGACATAGGTTAACGGGAGCATATGCGATTGTTAATTTCACCATCCATGATTTTGATTTAATATGAGTTCAATTCGAAGTGGCATATATCATATTAAGCAAATTTGAGCAACTTAACATTTTATAAAATAAAACCTAGTAGTGCATCGCATCGTGCCATTAAACAAAACAACAAACAAATTAATTGGTTTGAAATTTTTTTTTTTAATTTTGTGCATTTTTTGAAAATTTTGTAAATTTTTTGAAAATTTTCAATATTTTATCAAAGCTTTGAAATTCTTTGAAAATTTTGTTTTTTTTTTTGAAAATATTGAATTTTGTGAAAATTTGAATATTTTTTGAAAAACTTGGAGCCAATGAGAGCCCATTGAAGTCGATTGGTCCATACTGTCAAAAATATCAAAGACATTTCTTCGAAGTATATAAGTGAACTTTAAAAATTATAAATCTTAATACGGAACCCGAAGAAATTCAAACAAAATTTGTACTTATTATTGAAATATCTGATAACTTGATGTTCATATATGAAAGCCAAATGGCTTTTTTTAACTTTATCTCTTGACCTCCGAAACCGCTGGGGCTGCCTTCCTCAAAACACAAGTAAAATGTTTTTTTGATTCGTATCTCATTTTTGCTCCGTATCTCCAAAACTGTCACTTATTGTTTCAATTCCACTTTATTGTTTTTCTAGTATTATAATTTTACTATTTATTAATTTTTATTATTATTTTGCTTTTATTTCAATTAAATCATCATACTACGGATATCATTTAATGTAAATTCTATCCTTTGTACTCTTTTTATTTATTTAAATTTATGTTATTGTTTATAATCATTACTAGATGTTAAATTATTTAACAGTTGTGATAAATATTGAAATTAAAAAATAAAAAAATCTCCAAAACGGCTGGACCTAGATTTGCCAAAAACTAATCTGCATGTCTCCCCATCAATAGGAATCGAATGCATTTTGAATCACTCAAATTTGCATCCAAGCATACTACACATAATACACATACACACAAACACCCACACATATACACACATGCATCCATTTGTGCTAAAGTATGCTAAAATGTTCAGAAGACCTTGAAATTTGAAGATATCCAAATCTTTTATTCTCGATTTTTTGCGATTACTATAACTTACCCACCGCATATATATTTATATTTAGTTATATATTAGTTTTTTTTTATATTTAGTCAGTTTTTAGTTTATTTATTACTTAGTTAGTATTTTTTTGTAAACGTTTGCTTTAGTAATAATTTCATGGGCCTACAGTTTAATCAATAATTTATTATTCAGATTTTTAGTTAAAGCCACTTTCTGAACTCCTTTTTTTTATTTAAACACAAATATTTGTTCTGTTTATTTTATAAAATAGCTTATTAGATGAAACTGTATTTCATTATTATTAAGGAAATAAAAAATGTTTTACATATAAACTTTAGAGTCATTGAGAAAATTCGAATGTTTAATTGAGTTCAAATATCTTTTGAACATATTTCAACGGTCTATTTAAAATCACAATTTAATGTCTATATTAATGTAATAAATCGTCATTAACTATTTGTTTCAATTTTTATGCATAAATGGAAATATTAATTTAATATATGAAAATATGTTTTGTTTGTTGCTAAATATAATACAATAAAATATAGGGCATACTTTTTTGTAAAATAATTATTACCTAAATATTTTATATCCTTAAGCAACTTTCCAGATAGCACATTTAGATGATGGGCTTAACTACCAACAGCAATACATTTTTCCTTATAAACTGACAAAAATCTTATAAATTACAACATGTAACCAAATATTACCTACTAACATGTAAATCTGTGACCATTTTCAGCAAATTTATGAAATACACAGCCGCCAAACACTATAAACGCGACGGATCACAAACGCTCTCCGAACACAATGCGAAACGTTTTAATTGGCGCGCTAAATCATCATTCATTCACGCAGGTTTAAACAAATACTCACTCACACAGACAAAGAAAAACGCACACGATGATGAAATTATAAGCAATACATAGAAATATTGTGTATGGGTGCACTAATACGTGGGCAAAAGCGCATTAAAACATACCCCGTACTCTCTATAAATACCGAACCGCATATTGTACTCAAACTGGCGAATATTAATACGAGGCGAACAGGGGCAGAATAGAAATGATACATGGAAATGATATGTTTAGAATTTTCAGATTATTTTATAACGATTATTGTTCTTTAATCTAAGTATATATTTACTTGTTTCCAATGAAATAAATATTTGCCAATTCAAAGGCAGCCATTGGGTTCTAAAAGACATTGTACAATTGATCTTTAATGAATAGAATTCTATAGCCTCCCCCCATAAAGTACTAGTAGTTTAACTTAACGGCGGTTCCATGGGAAAAAAAGCAAGAGAAAAACGGACTTTTTGTCGGTATTATTTATAATGATTTCATCAAACCCAGACAAAAAGATTTAATAAGTCTAATTAAAACAATATGTGTTTAATTATTCTATACATA